TAAACCCAATTGTCTCTCTTACCTAATATATATGTTATGAGACCTTGAGGGAGTATTCCCTAGGAGTACATGTGATCCAGAAACATGTCAGCCCTCATGGGGACTGAGGCCTCAATTTTGAAATCTTTTCAATCTCTGACTTAAAGTCATCAAGAATATGCAGTGTCCCTGTCCTATTTCCCTTCCAAAAGAAAAATGTGTATTCTCAATGGATACATATTATGCAGAATCTCACTAAGCTTTACTTTGACCATCAGTCAAAGACTACCAGGTTTATAGAAATATATGGCCAAAACCCAGAAAAACAAGCAGCAATAGAAATAATTCCGTAGGACACTCAGATAATGGAGCTGTAATTTATAGACTATTAAATAACTACAAATAATTTGAATACATTACAAGAAAAGAATAAGAAGATCGCAAAGAGAAAGAAACAATATGAAAATTTTAAAACTGAAAAACACAATAACTGAATTAAAGAATTAAATAGATGGGTTTAACAGCAAATTAGACATAGCTAAAGACAAGACTTAGGAACTTGAAGAAAGGCCTCACAAAAATATACAAACTGAATTCTGATATAAAAAGGATAGGAAATACAGAAAGGACCATGAGTGCTATACAAAATATGTTGAGCATGACTAAGATACACAGGAGCAAGATAATGGAGGAAAATAAATACCCAGAGAGAGATTGTCTGAGAAATTTTCATGTGTGACAAAAATTAAGACACAAATTCAAGATGCTCTAGGAACCCCAAGAGGGATTAAAAACAAAGAAAATCAGACTGAGATATGCTACAGTAACTGTTGAAAGCCCAGTAGAAAGGGGAGAAATATTAAAAATAGTCAAAAGAAAGGATCAAGTATGTAGCTCAGTGGCAGAGCACTTGTTTAGCATGTGCAAAGCCCTGGATTTTATCTCCAGTTCTAGAAATATAAAAAAAAGAAAAAGATAGAAAGAAAGGAAAATATTACCTTCAACAGTATACTGACAGCTGATTACCTAACAAATATTAGAAACCAGAAGTCAATGGAATCTTCAACTTACTGAAAGTTAATAACTTCCAACCTAGGATTCAATAACCAGTGAACATTTTAAACATTAAAAATAGAACTACCATATGATCCAGCAATCTCACTACCCAGCATATATCCAAAGGAAATGAAATCAGTATGTTGAAGAAACATCTGCATGCCCACGTTTCCTTGCAACAATATCCACAATAACCAGAAATGGAAATAATCCATTTATCTGTTTATCTATTCATCCATCAACTGATGAATAGATAAAGAAATGTGGTAAATACACACAACGTTATACTATTCAGACATAAAGAAGAGTCGAATCCTGTCATTAGTGACAACATGGGTGGAACTGGAGATCATTATGTTAAATGAAATAAGCCAGGCAAAGAAAGACAGGAAGCACAAGATCTCACTCATACATGGAATCCAAAAAAGTTGATCTCTGCTGAGAGCCATTGCCAAGTAGGAATGACGCATGGCAATTTCTTTGTCAGCCTACCCAATGTTGCTTAGAGGGAGGACTCTCCATTGTGGAAATGGGCTTGCCTTGGACCCAGGTCATTTGCAGTGACATTGCATGAATGTTTGAGAAAGGTGACCCTGCTCAAGGACCAGGGTGGATCCGGGTTTAGGGAGGATCCTGCTGGATTAGGGTGGGTCCAGGTTTAGGGTGTATCCTGCTGGGAATAGGGAGTATCCTGCTGCCTCAAGCGCCCCCCCCTTGGGTTTAGGGCGGTTCCAGGTTTAAGGTGGACCCTGCTGAGAATAGGGCGTATCCTGCTGCCTCAGGCGCCTGTCCGCTCCTTGAGTTCCCCTTGAGTTCTCGTGGGATTCAGAGAGTATTTTGGGATTCAGAGCAGAGTGCCGGTGAATTTTCCCCAGAACATGCGTGTAGAGTGCCATGAGAGTTTCGGGAATAAAGAATTGCTGTTTGAATCTACAAGGCTGTGAGTGGCTCGTGATTTTGTGCCCAGCCAGACTGGGGCAGATCTCATAGAAGTTGAGACTAGAACGGTAATTACCAGAGGTCGGGAAGAGTAGGGGAGAGGTATCATGAGCTGCCTGTGGGCTGTGCATGGATTATGTTGCGCATAGTTGCCTCTTGAGGGGAGAGGCCTGGCTCTGCAAACTCCCTGTCAGGGAGTGTGATGGCGTGATGCAGGTGCGCCTCCCCCTCTAGCTCTGCCTAAGATCTCACACAGCACCTGAGATGGGTGTGACTGGCCAAGATGTCAATTTGCTGACCATCAGGAAGACATCATGAAGCAAGATTCCACCCTTGAAACCTTATCCCCCTTTCATGCTCCACCACACACCCACCGCTATAAATAAAGGGATTCTGGGTGCATGCACCCCCTTTTCCAGCCCTCTTTCCAGCAAGGAAGCTGACCCTTAAGGCTGCAGAGCTGTCCTACTCTCGGTTTAAAAACTACTCTCTGTATTGTGTGTTTTTTTGCCCCTTTCTTAGCTTAATGTTGCAGCCAGCTCTTTTAAACCCAGTTCACCTGGTTTGTGCGGGTCATTGTCGAGAGAGGGAAGAATGACGAAAAGTTATCAATGAATACTAAGTTACAGTTAAAGTAAGAAGTTCTTTTTAAAAAAATTTTTTTATTCATAATGGACTCAATATCTTTATTTATTTTTATGTGGTGCTGAGGATCCAACCCAGTGCCTCACATGTGCAAGGCAAGCACTCTGCCACTGAGCCACAACCCCAAGAAGTTCTGATGTGCTATTGGACAGGAGGATGGCTATAGGTGACAGCAATGCATTGACATTTCAAAAAGAAGAAAGGATTCTGGAAATTTTTACCATAAAGAAATGATAAATGTTTGAGAAGATGGATATGTTTAATCTGATTTAAACATTATACATGTATCAAAATAGGCCTTCAATTTTTATGTTTTTATGATTTCAAATAAATTTAACTTAAAGTTAAAAAAGTAATAAACAGAATAATCATTGAAAACTCAAGAGTGAAATAAAGTCATGCCAAGAATAACACATGTTCATCAGTAACAGAATGACACTAAACACTAATGAGTACCCTACCTTTAGACAAAAGGAAAAAATATATATATTCTGAATTAAAGCAAAGAAATGTAGCAAAAAATATACAGTAATGAAAAGGGTAGCTATGTTGCAAATCTAAATATATAAGCAAATATAAACATAACTAAAAGGATAAATAGGAATTTCACAATGGTTATTGAGAGAGTTTAGTATATCTCTCTCAATATCAATTCCAGGTAGATTATCTGTCAACTGGTATAAAACAAAAAAATAACAATTATAAGTAATTTTATATGTAAATTAATAACAATTACAATAACAGTGAGATACAATAGTAACAATTACAGAAGATCACATAAGAGAATATTTCCATGATTTGGGGGTTAGGGAAAATTTCCTTGCAAAGAATACAGGAAAAAGAAATCCCATTAATCATACAAGAAAAGATGAGCATATTAACCTACCATAAATTAGAGATTTCTGTTCACTGAATGGAACCATTAAGCAAGTGGAAAGCCAAGTGAGAAGGTGGGAGAAGATATCTTCAACACATGCAGCCAACACAACTTGTGTGCTGAATATATAAAGAACTCCTTCAAATCAGAAGGCTATGTTGAAACCTACATGTCAATGATTTCTCCTAGATCTGAGAGAGGATGTTCACTAATGACAGGAAGGAAGTATTAAAAGTGATTTGCTTATGTGGGACCTTTGTTGAATTGAATATAATCACTTAAGTCAATCAAAGTAACTTATCCCAAGTAAGTCATAAAAATAATTTGGGCTGGGGATATAGCTTAGTGGGTAGAGTGCTTGCTTTGTATGCACAAGGCCCTGGGTTTGATCCCTAGTGCCACACACAAAAATAAATAAATAAAAGAACTTAAATGCTCCATTTCTTTAGAATGGCTTTCCTCAATTCATTGTTGAAACATAGTATAAATTGCTCTATTCAGGGTTACCTTTATGAAACAACAGAAAAAAAATAGTTAAGTAATTCAGTCACTGAATATAAAAGTCTTCAACAGAGCAGTAGTTCTTATTGAGAGAAGCAGAAAAGGGAGAAATGGAGTCACTCTGGTACCACACCACCCACATTTCCTCCCAAGATAATTTTTTTTTTGTAACAGAGATTGAACTCAGGGGTGCTTAACTACTGACCACATCCCCAGCACTGTTTTTTTTTTTTAGACAGGTTCTCACTAAGTTGCTCAGGGCCTCACTAAGTTGCTCAGGGCCTCGCTAAGTTCCTGAAGCTGGCTTTGAACTTGTAGGCCTCCCGCCTCAGCCTCCCAAGCTGCTGAGATTACAGGAGTGTGCCATGGTACCCAGCCACAGTTATTCTTTTAAATATTGTTCTCTGCTGAGCATGGTGGTCCACACCTGTGATTCCGGCTACTCGGGAGGCTGAGGCATCACAAGTTTGAGGCCACCCTGGGAAACCTAGTGAGACCCTGTCTTAGAATAAAAAATGAAAAGGTCTTGGGGTATAGCTCAGTAGTAGAACACCCCAGCATTCAACCCCCAGTACCATAAAGAAAAGAACTTTATTTTATATTTTTGGTACTGGGGATTGAACTCAGGGCATTGCCCATGCTAGGCAAGTGCCCTACCCCCTGAGCTAAATCTCCCAGCTGCAAAAGGAACTTTAAATACTCTTTTCTGTCTTTGAATCTACCTCTATCTCAACTCTTCTGTTTCTCCATCTCTCTGTCTCTCTCTGTCTCTCTTTCTCTCTCTCTCTCTCTCTCTCTCTCTCTCTCTCTCTCACACACACACACACACACACACCCCAGAGTCCTGCCAAGGCACTGCTGAACGTAACTGGGCTATACTTGAACCCTATCTAACTCTCTATCCCTAAATTTATAACACACTATTTTTCTTTCTCGCTTTCCCCACTCCAATCTATCAAATTTTCTCTTTCTACAAAAAAAAAAAAAAGGGCAAAAAACTCACGCGACTTTGGCGCAGACAGTGCACTTCCAGCTGCCATTGAGGCCCACAACCCGACATTCACTGCACACCCTCAGTGAGCAGGCCTGGCACGGGTCTCCCCGGTCAAAGATGAGGCCCAGGTTTCTCTGACAGTGAACACAGACTCTGCTGGTCTCTTGTTGAGTCTTCCCACTTCTACGTTTTGCCTCCAGGAGCTCATTTTTCAGCTTCCTGAAAGAGAAAAAAAAAATCACTTAAAAAAGTACACACAGAGCCAGGTGTGGTGGCACATACCTATCATTCCAGTGACTCAGGAGGCTGAAGCAGGAGGATCACAAGTTCGAGGCTAGCCTTAGCAACATAATGAGACACTGTCTCAAAATAAAGAAATAAAAAGGGCTGGGGATGTAGTTCTGAAGTAAAGCACCTCTGGGTTCAATCCGAAGTACAAGAACACACATACATATAGGAGCAGACCTATTTTTAAGAGATGTTTTCGTTTGGAAGAATATTCAAATCAAGGAGTCAAAACCAAATACTTGCAGAGAATACAATTTCTCCCTCCAGAATCAATGATCCATTGATATGTAGTTGAAAATTACATTCATGCTTTATTTTTTTATTTTTTAGTTATAGATGGATACAATATCTTTATTTCCTTTGTTTAATTTTTTTATCTTTATTTTGCTGCTTTATTTTTATGTGGTGCTGAGGATCAAACCCAGGGCCTCACACATGTGGGCAAGTGCTCTGCCACTGAGCCAAAACACCAGCCCCTCATGCTTTATTTTTGACATCTTGCACTAGCACTATTTTTCTATGAAGATTTATTCACATTCTACTCCGACTTATCCTGGACATCTTTGATGCCACAACACTGGAGCATTGCTGGGATGCAAAGACACACATGGTTGCAGGGGCTTTGTCTGCCTGGATGTACTACATGAGACAACAGTGCAAAACCAATCAATAGCACTGGTACTTTCCTTCCGTGATCCCAAGAATTTTGTGCCTACAAAATACTGTCTAGCATTTCAGATATTGACACTTCTGCTTAGCATTTGATAGTATCCAACAATTTCCATTAACCTATGGGCGTTGTTGTCAGTCATGTCTATGAATCCAGGTTCCTCCTGTACTAGCCGTCCAACCTTAGGCAATGATTTAGTCACTCAATTTCAATCTCTCATTTTTTAAAATGGGAGTAATTGTATTCTTTCATAGTTGTTTTTAAGATTAAATGAGTTTCCAGATGTGGTGGCACACATCTGTAATCCCAGCGGCTCAGGAGTTTGACACAGGGAGCGTGGATCGCAAGCTCAAGACCAGCCTCAGCAACTTGGCAAGGCCCTAAGCAACTTATGGAGACTCTGTCTCAAAATAAAAAAAAATAAAGCCGGGCATGGTGGTGCACACCTGTAATCTTAGTGGCTCAGGAAGCTGAGAAAAGAGGATCACAAGTTCAAAGCCAGCCTCAGCAATAACATGCTACTCTGCAACTCAGTGAGACCCTGTCTCTAAATAAAATACAAAATAGGGCTGGGGATGGGGCTCAGTGGTTGAGTGCCCCTCAGTTCAATCCCCAGCACCAAATAAATAAATAAATAAATAGGCTGGGGATGTGGCTCAGTGGTTGAGTGACTCTGAGTTTAATCCCTGGTACCAAAAAAAAATATTAAATGAACTAATATAAATAAAGTTCCCAGCATGGTATCTGGCACATAGGTACATGGGCAGTCCTTTCTCCAGGGAATTTGGTAGGAATGCTGCACTTCAGACCTACTGGATCAGAAAGTACATTTTTTCAAAATCAGTAGTTTCATAAAATATTCAGGTGATTAGAGTTTGAGAGGCACAGCTTTGAAACATTTATTTTCAAATTTGGCTATATGTTGAAATCATTTGGGAAGATTTTTTTCAGTGATTCCTAGGTCTCACTCCCACACATTCTGTGTGTCATTGGATTTGGATGTGGCCTATGCAATGGTATTTTAAACACTTTCCTTATTTACTCAAATATACTGCCAAATTTGGAAAACACTGCTATAGAAGACAGGCTCATTCTCACTTAAATGCTTCATAGACATGTGGTTCCTTCATGCTGTTGATCTCTATTCTTCTATGTTCCAGGAAAAAATAATCCAAAATCATTCACATCTTTCGTACCATCTCCTTTTTACATTTGTGAAACTAAACTTTGTCATGCCCACCCTCAGGGAGCAGGAAGAACAGAACACTGCAGTGTCCAAAATCTATAACAATCCATGCAACAGTGATAAAGAAACAAACTACTCAAAACAAGCAGAACAAAGCCAGCAATCCCAGGGAGGAGCCCAAGTGGGTTGATGGACCAAAGAGTAATAAACTAAGAAAATGAGAGCTTCCAATCACTCCTGCAAGGTAGGCGGGCCTGCGACCCACCGGCAGAAGAGGAGCAGCGGCCTGCTGAGAGGCAGAGCCGCCCCCTCCCCC